TGGTGTAACAACTGCGCTGGATTTACGGTGATACTCAGGCAGCCAGCACTGCATCCAACCGCAGAACCCGACCAGACCCGATGTTTCTGCCAACTATGTCCGGAGTCCTCCGACGACAATGCCTTGATCACAGCACCGCAACAACAGTAGAGCACTACGACTCATTCGTGACACGCCACAACCGCCATCCACCTCATCTTTCGGTGATAGCACAGTTCACTTGACTGGGACCGAAAAAGCCACACATAGTGTCCAGAGCCCATCATCCGTCCCCCGGCGGCCGTACGGTAACTGCAGCATTCTTCTTCTTACAAGCCGCCCACGCCATCCATCCATGTGTGGCTGCAGGTATATTTTTTTTACGTCCAGTAGTTTACTGTATGTTATGGCGTGCCGTGCAATTCGATCACGAAGAACCCTGATTTAATTCGATTCGATCGTGTGCTTCCGATTCGATTCGATCTTACGGTCGGTCCCCGCAGCTCAGTTTTGGTCGTGGTCATGGTCTTGGGCGCTCAACTCTACCGTCTGTACATACTTAGTAGATTAATGAAAAGCCGGGCTCCTCCAGATCCTCCGTATGTTCCATCAACCACCGAATCACAAGGCATCACAGATGCACAGTAGTGGACAGGGAAGGGGGCCTGAGACCACGGGCGGGCCATGCCGGATTGCTGCTGCTGCTGCTGCTGCTGCCGCTGCCGCCACAGCCTCTGTCCAGTCATTCAACATAGTCCTCAAATCAGGGTATCTTAGAACAATGCCTTTATCCGGGATGGATGGGAGTCAAACTACCCGAAGGCGGAAAGAGCATAAGCCCGTAGGACCCTCCCCCTCATCCCCCGGGGCGGGCGGACAGAGAAATCCTACTTATGAGTAGAAGGATTGGTGAGTTTGGTGGCACATAGTTACATGTTATTCGAGGATTTTCCCTCGCCTCCAGGTTTCTGCCGGAGCGGCGCGGGCTAGAACAAGTTTGGCGAGATGAAGGTTTCCATTGTCTGTGTCGATCTATTCTAGAGCAGTTGATCGTGTTTCGAGTAAAGCAGGTTTGTTATCAATGATGAGGGGATGGGGGGAGAGGGAAGGGCCTTTCTAGACCCCCGCTTATCATTGTCGATCTGTGTGCTGGATGGAATCGTGTCTTTGTGGGGGATGTGATTGGGTGCGATGCGCGCGTGGTGGTGTGGTTTTGGATGCAGTGCAGTGGCTTGGACCCTTGTCCTTGTTGCCATGATCCCTTGGCGTTCGATTGGCGAATGGAATTGGCAGTCTGGGTGTCTACTGGGTAGGGTTTCTTGCTGGGATTGAGTTAGTATCGTAAATAGACTCTCTGAGTGTCTTGAGTCTTGTACTTTGGTGCAAAGAGGGGAATCTAGATTGTGGGTATAGTGCCCTGTGCACATGGCTCTGCCGTCTTAGCTTGGGTATACTTAGTATGTATGCAGCTCTCAAAGGGTCTTGTTCGTTGCATGTCGAGCATTATTTCCTCACTTGTACAAGATTATGGAAAGATGGGGGGTGGGAGGTTCTTATCGGAACCCAAGATATTCATACAGAGCTCAAAGCTTGCAGTTTGGCCTCGACGAAAAAAAAGGTAAGATTTGTATTTGCCAGGAGATGAGAAAGATACATCGCTGGGACAATGGTACTGGAGACCTTGTTCATAGATAGGTAAGTACGTAGCTTTGAATGAATGGTTGCTCTTCCGACAGGGTTCAGCTCAACATTCGACTTCCTTTTTCTGTTCCTCTTTTGGAAGGGTTGGGCATTTCATATTTTTATCTCGTGGTTTTATGATGTCTAGTAACGTTTGAGGTCAGTTCGAGCAAAGGTTTTCATGCCTTCTTCGATTTGCACCCTCCATTATATGCCGCGCCGCAAGCTCGATGATCCGCCTGGAGCGTGCGTGAGACGACTAGGCGCTGAGAGGGCCAGGTTTTGAGGTGATATTTTCTAGGGGACATTGTCATCAGAGCAGGGGAAGGCAAGCAACAAGAGCAAAGGGTCCGAGAACATGGCTTTGTTTATTCTGTACGGACATAGGAAGGGCGCAGGGGAGAAGATGTCGTGCGCGTGGAGTCCTGGCGTGAGTATGGATTATCACCCGGCAGTTTGGCCTCGATTCAGTCAAATTGCCCATTCTCGTTCATTCTCTATTCTAGTGACTCGGGAGACTGGAAGTCGTATCTTGGGTTAGGACCGGGCGAGGCAGATACACTTTAGCATTCGATGCTGGATAAGACAGTCCCCAAGGGAGAGGGCACTGGCTCTAAAATGCTGGAACAGAGATTCAACACTTTGTTGCATACGTTGACTTGTATGTATGTTTGGGCTAGTACTTAGTGACATACCTACTAGTCAGTTGATACCGACTTTTTGGATCCCGAGGAACTGTTCGTGCTTGGCATATTAGCTCATGCTTATTGTAGTGGCAGAAGATGGTGATTGGTTGAGACGTTGGGATGAGAAAGATGAGATGAGTGTGGTTTTGGAGAAAAGCGGGGCGGGCGGGGATCGGGCCGCGATATAGTTCCTTTGGTCGGCGCGATGCGCGGATGGGGAGAAATTCCAGTTCCAACCTTATGTCCCGCGAGGTGCTCTTGTCGGGCCAAATCTACAATGAGATATCATGAAGAGAGAGACATGAAGCGATGGTTATGGTTGGCTCTAAAGATATTGAGGATCTTGGGGAAATTCCATGAGCAGGTTTTTGGATAAGAGGTATGGATGACTGCTTGAGTAGGACAGGAGTGCTTGAGGTGCTTGGGTAATAAGATGCTTGATTGGAGAATTGAGAATAGCTCGTTTGCCAGAGAAAGAAAAGGTCTTTATCACCTTAAAAACACAGAGCGCTAACCGAGATCATCATCCGCAAGTCTTTAACCTGATATTTCTCCACACCCAAGCCGCTGTATTCTGCTACAGCCCGACTGGTCACAAGCTGTACCCCCCGTCAACCATGAGGCCGGTCCCATAGACAAAACTGCTCATTGGCGATGCCAAGAATAAGATGGCGCTCGCGATCTCCTCAGTCTCCGCTACTCTCTGCACCGGGGCGCTGAGGATCTCTGCAGACAGCTCGCCAGAGTCCAGCTCTGACTGAATCAATGAGGTGCGAAACCAGCTGCGATCAGGTCAGTATCGGAGGCAATCTGGAGAAAGTAGTTACAAAAGTCCTAGATCCGTATACACACCCTGGACACACTGCATTTATACGGATTCCCTCTGCGGCGTAGATTTTGGCATCCTTCAAGGTGTTGATGATCAGTGTGGACCGTTCTTCATGAGCAAAGGGAGTATACTGACCGATTTCGTCAATCCCATAACCGCTACATGATATTGTCAGAAAGGCTTTCCATGCATATATCGTTAGTCACAGGGGCCCCTACCATGTTTGGAAGACACATAAGCTGTAGTGGGGAGCACAGTCGACGGCGTCGTAAGTCCCAAGGCTGATGCGACATTGACGATGACGCCTCGGCCTTGGCGGACATTACGGGGTCTGCCATCGCACAAGTCAGGCCATGCAGAATTCAGGCAAACCCCTCAGGGGCAGTGATTGGGAGCCTGGGGTAGACGGGAGAAGAGACTATACTCTTGCGCAAGCATCTGCCGGATAGCAGCCCTTTGGCATAGCCATACCCCGGTCAGGTTAACTCGAATGACTTTCTCCCAGTCCTCCTTGCTCAGGTCGGGCGTTGACTGGAAGGGCTGGCCAACGCCAGCCGCGTTGATGACAATGTCCACTCTCTGGAACGCGGCCACCGTCTCTTGGAAGGCGGCCTCAACGGCTGCTTCATCGGTCACATCCGCCGGCACGATAAGCACCTGCACAGTCGGGTGGCTTGCTTGCAAGGCCTGGTGCACGTGGTCCAGGCCCGACGGATCGATATCCACTAAGGTCAGTGCTGAAATGCCGTTCGCTGCGAGGTGCAGGGCTGTCTGCTCTCCGACACCTGCCTGTAGAGTCAGTCTTGGGGGCCAGTTCGCTTCCAGAAATCGGAGCACATGGTCAGTAAGCTTTCTCTCTTACCCGAGCCAGCTCCGGTGATCAGGGCGGTTCCTTCTACTTGGCACGACATGATGGATGTTACTGTTGGGTTCAGCTCGTGGAAGGAATCATTTGTCTCGACCTCAAGACCCTTGCTTTCCGAAGTCATACGTGCAGTGGAAAATAGAGAAGGTGTGTGGTGAGAGGGGGAGGAGAGAGGGAAAAATAAAAACAAGATAGTAGTATACATGCATTCACTTTACTACTATTCCTACCGACCCTCTGTTCGGACCACCTGACTTCCCGGGCTGAGAAGACTTGGCGGTGTACTGTAACTTACAGTACATACTAAATTATAAGGTACCTGAGCGCACGTCGGCCCAACTACGTGCATGCAGCCGATTAGTCCATTTTTCTGCCGTCACTACTAGGTATCATCGAGGGATGATATGTCGACCAAAGAAATCGGTCTCGTTATAGGTAGCATAAGCGCTGAACTGTATGCTAGGTAATGTATGACCTTCGGGTAAGCTTCCAATCTGGTAACTATCGGAGTCTAAGACAAGCTACTGGTGGCTAGAATGCAAGTAAGAGATGTGCTCAATAATTGGTTATGTATTATGGATGGAAGATCCCGCCATAAGTTGAAAGAGTACAAGACAAGGAACCGTGGGTGACTGACCGGACGTAATTGAATTCATTTTGACATGACAGCTCCAGCAGTAGTTAACGATGTTTTCAGAGACTGCCCTTGGATCTTGAAAGATTTGATTTATTCTCTTTTGCCATCGAAGATTGACGCATGCGTATGTTGTTGGAGCCCTAGCTGGCGAAAGGCTGCAGATTGCTGATCTCAAACGCCAACTCAGACGAGACGAAAAAGAAAGTCTGTGGGTGTAGAAACTGAGGGTTGGGTAAAGCTCGCAGGCCAAAGGTTTATCACAAGACACAAAAAGGGACATGATGCAGGTATGGCTGTTCTTCTCCAAGTAGCCAGGTCTGAAAAGGAGATGTTAAAGTCTCGTACAATGGACTAAATGTACACAGCCACATTTTCCATTCAAGCACCACCAGGACTTGTACAATGTATGTAGCGGGACCCATCTTATTTAGTTGGAGCAGAATCCAAGACAAATGAGGCATGCCCTTCTGCTGAAATCCCAGTCTGTAAACAGTTCTCGAGCGAGTTGATCCAAGCGGCAGAGGAAGTCTACATAAACACCGTCTTGTCTCCCAAGACACCCTGACCCTGATGTCTCTAGCAAGTCGACGGGATTCTACCTTTTGCGAGTGCTATATCTGTTTCGAAAGCATTGGCGAACGTAAGTAACTCCTTGAAACATGGCTGAGAGTATTCCCACCGAGATTTTCGAAGCGCAGCGTGAACCTCGCCATGATCTTGGTGATCAAATTGTGGATTCCCATGTGGCTCGCATCCTCGATCTAAGCAAGATCCCTAACTTCATGTGTGGATACGATGCGCTCTCTATCTATGGGGCACCGTTGCACGAGGCTACGGAACGTGACTGGGTGGTTCCCGATGAGCATATCGCCCAGGCAATAAGAGTCTTCACGCAGGCTGGGTTTTTGCAATGTCCACATCGGAGCGAATACGAAAGACTCGGCAAACTCGGGTTGTTGCACAACTTCGACGATCCCGAACCCGACCCTTTGGGAGAGCTCGATCCATGCCCCTAAAGTGTCGATTTCCATATACCGGACTATCACTTCCACTTGAGCTTTGACTCGGCTAACCGAAACCCACGAGCGATAGGTTATACACTGACACGTGCTATTCATCTCTACCGCATGTCGCGGCTTTTCCCGACATTTCCCATCCCACCCATTGGCGCTCCCACTCGCGATGATCCATACTATCGGCTCACGTCGGACGGCCGCATTCGGTTGTTTGCCACTGCGATAGCAAGTGGCCCCGGGGGCGTCAGTCTGATGACGCGGCCTTCCATCCCGTGAAGATTCCTCACTTGGCCCGCTGGGTGGAGGTCCACCAGCTGCGGATTCTCCGCAACTTGCCCGCCGCGAACACTGATGGTGAATTCATGGGCGTGCGCTGGGAAAGCGCTCCCAGGCCGCATAAATACATGATGTTGCTGGTGCGGTACCAGATGAATGTGGATATCACGGAGCTGTCGGAGCCTTGGCGCACATTGACGGCCCTGTGGTAGGAGGTTTCGCCGGAGTATGACAACCAGAAGCCTTATCCGAATCACCGTTCCCGGAGGAAGCAGATGGATAGCGACTACCACAAGTACCTGTACGAGCTATGCATCAACATGAAGAGACGCGGTGAGCTTCCACCCCCGGAGGGAGAACGTATTCACCTAGCAGGTCTTAAGGAGTTTGTGTCGTGGTTAGAGATGCTCGACATCGAGTCCAACTCCGCTGACCTGGAATAAAGCAGTCTATGGTCTGTCTGTCCTTCCAGCGCAGATACATAAAAACAAGGCTCCCTCGTCTACGTGAATGATGCGAATTCCTACCAAAAGATCTTGCTAGATCTTAGTCCCAAGGGCACTGTCTATGAAGTCCAGGCATATACCAACGCATGGTGTATGCAGCCTTTCCTCATAGGTCAGAATGTGTCCTTGCTGTCGGGAATTCAGTCAAATGGTAATAGAACAAGCAGCACAGAATTCTGGGTATGAGAATACTTCGTCACCTGAGCGCTCTCGTGCATTTCCCTCACAGCTCTACTATTGCCAAGTTCAATCAAAGAGTACCTTTGATCTCCCCAAGGATGCAAACCGTGCCACCACAGCACTGTCACGGAGCCTTTTTCCTTTTCTTTTCTTTTTTTTCCCCGGAAAGGCAAGACTGCTCTGATTCCAGGCCTGTCGACGTCTCTGTACAAACGAGCTTTCTGCTCGCCGCAAGGCTTGACAGGTTGTGAGACAAGATGGCTTTGTTCTTGTTCGTTCTCTCGAAGTAAAATGCCAGAACACAAGGATATAATCAAGCCAGGCAGCGCCCGTTAGCATCCACTAATCCATCAGGCAGTCTTTTTTCCCCGTTACTCTTGAACGACAGGCAGTACTCACACCTTACTTGCATTCCAACTTTCTATCTCCAAGATGCTTGCAGCTGTTGATCTCCGTCCCCTTGTTGGTCTTCTCTTCGTTCTCTTCTCCTTTATCGCTGGCTGCTATCTCGCTAGGTTTCCTGTTCCCCATTCCGTGAATGAAGCAGAAAATGAAGGAACAGGGTTTGATGTCCTTGAGTATGACTCTTAGCTCCCACGTCTTTTATAAAATCTGCGATTGCTGATTACCTTCATAGCGCGCGCGGCTTGGTTCAGCAAGCTGCCGTGGAATTACTCGGGACATTGAGAGAGGTTGTTGCCTCATTGAAATCGTTCAAGGATCACGACTGGAAAATCCTGATTTCCGGTGACTTAGCCGTCGCCCACTGGACTGAGCATGCAGAGAGATACGTATGAGCATCATATACCACCCCATTATGGCGGTGGCCGAGCTGAACATTCGAACAGGAGCTTGAATTCACCATTGTGCTGCCCGACAAGCTCAAGCCAGATGACTTACTGAACAGACTGCGCCGGCACTATGAGCCTAGGCTACGTGAAGATCCAAGAAACAAAGGCTCTTTTGACTGGGGGAGAATGGGTCCCCTTTAGATGAAGACTTGCCTGAACGCCAGGGCATACGACCGGAGAGGTCATGCCAAGTCTGTCTAGCATCTTCTTGTCCTCTGCAATGGAACAGAATACTGAAAAGCGTTGGGAAAGGCTCGATACAAGATACTCCGCAAGAACAGAATTCTGCTGTAAAAAAAAAAAAAACTACCATGGGATGAACAGATCCCTCCGCTGGAAAAGTGAAGATGGCCTCCGGGACTTCTTGATTGTTTTCCGTGGTGGGTTCCGTGACCAAAACATGTGTGGTTAATCCAAAGTATACCTGATAGTTCACATTGTCATCTTTGAATCGTCATTTTCCTTTCTGTAAGACCGGCTTTCCTGCGTCATCAAAGGCCTGTCAATGGTAGCTAGGATACTATTGATGCTGCCGCCTCCTCGAGGACGCCCGCCAGCAGTGGGGCAGCAAAAGACTGACAATAGCCGAGTGCTAACAAGCTCGTCCTTCTCCTCGCATGACTATCGACTAAGTATTTAGCTAAGATATGTTCGCGATATAATGGTAGAAGCTTCACCCTCTGAGTTCCAGCGTAACTTGCTCTGTTCAAGAGATAGAAGAATGATGAGCTAGCTACCTTGACGACTAGAGCGCAGTGGATGCGCCCCTGTCGGCATTCCTGAGAAAGCCCGACCACGTGATCCAGGGCGGCTCACCAGGCATGCTTTTGTACAGTTGTATAGCCTCACCGTTTGCTCTAGAAGGCCGTTCTGCCGCCCTTCGCACGGACTGCCGCACCCCATCAAAATACTACTACGTACAGCCCCGCTCACGCTCGTTTTAGCTAGCTAATCAAACAACCTACCACCAGAAATCCAAGATGTCGCCCATCCCTGAGCCGAGCTTCATCGATTCGCTACATACCCATCTGCACAATCACATCCATAGAATCCGATGTATATCATACACGCCCTACCTGTGAATCGAGAGTCCAAGGTGCACGGAGCATGTACAGTACTGGGTGTGCATGCATGGTATTTATAGCAAGTGGCGCCTATGAGCTTACCAACCCGTAGTCAAGCGGACCGGTCATCTCCAACGCTCGATCCCACCCATCGCCGCAGAGACCCTGCCCCCTACTCCCTTCTCCATCGGATCTTCTCTCGGGTCATTGGGGTAGGTGGCGGGAGCCGATCGATCTCTCTCTGGGCAAGGGCGCTGGCAGTATATAGCATCCGAGGCAGACTCCGACACTACAGTCCCGCTCACGTCATGCAGCGTTAGGAGAGCTACTTGGCTCTTGTGCTTCGAGGGCTTGAACTCGCCCCCAGCGCCGAGCCTGGAGCTCACTGGAACGTGCATGTCGATGATACCGGGGGGGGGGCTATGCAATGGCCAAATGCTTACTCTTCCCACTCCTGTCAACAGGAAGAGACTTGTAGACCCACTCGTGATCGAAGAACCGCTCCCTGACGCATTCGCAACCATACTCGGTGCTCAACCATCGATTTGGATTATCGATCGACACGCCATGTAGTGAGAAGAAACTACCCCCTGTCCCGGACGGACACTCCGCTCGGAACAAGCAAATTCACATGCCACCTGGAGGGCCGCGATTGTCTCTTCCGTTGTCGAGGCGGTCTTACCTAGAGCCTGATGGTAAGAGTCCCCATTCGTCGCCCGCACGAACCCGACGATAAGCGATATAGCATATTTTCTTCTCGAAGACGGCGGGATTCTTCTCTCCCCGCCTCATGGTTGATGCGCGAAGCGTAACTGCCGTTCTCTGGCTTCCCATCCAGCGTTGATAGCGCCCGCTCTGTGATGGATTGTCTGATGAAGTGGGTTCGTGTTCTTGTTCTCGCGAGAGCTGCGCCGGGGGAGGGGGCAGGTTGGTGCGGTGGGGAGACGCGTCTTCTGGGGTCTGGAGAATCTGGTCTTGTGGTCTTGCTGGGAGGGAGGAATGGAGATTGTTCTTCGATTGAGGGCTTGGTGTGGATGGAGGGCAATGATGTCTTTTGGAGGAAAGGTCAATTGCTTGGTTTTGTTGGTTGGTTTTGTTGGTCGGGTTTGTGGTCAGGGTTGGATCTATGATGGTTTTGCTTTGGAAAGAGGGAGTTGGTCTGATGTGAAGGTCGGGTTGTGTGGTCGGTTTGACTGGAAAAGTCCCCGGGGTTTGATGTGATTGATCGAGAATGAAAGTTGATCAGGAAGGAAAGAGGACTCGGTGTGTGGGCAAGTTTGGTTTGTGGTGGTGGTTTCGAGAGGTACTGTGCTGCAGGTGGGTGGGCTTGATTGTTTGGTGGTGGATCGGGACTATACATGTAGGTGACAATGTCAATGATCTAAGTGATGTTGTATCTAGTGCTTTCTCTGCCGGAAGTGGGGTTTGGTGTCATCATAGGTATAGGCATTGGTGATGCATACTACTTGTTCATACTGTTCGGTTCTGATTGTTGAGTGTTCACTTAAGAGGATTTGGGGCCTGCTGCTGCTACATGGTAGCTGACTGGCGATCGATACTTCTGGACCTAGCGTGAGAAGGCAGTATGGGAAGAGCTGTAGGAGTTTTGGAACCAGAGTACTATCCTCATGAGATACACCATCACTACTGGCGCTACGAGACATCGATCTCGGAATACTAATCAGACAACCAGAGACTAAGCAAGTGTTGAGACGGTCGACCAGGCCAAAGAAGTACTGAGATAGCCAACCAGGCCAAAAAGTATTGAGATGGTCAACCATAGACTAAACCTTGAGAGCTGCTGGCCGATAAACTAGCTTCGCTAAGACAGACATGCTCGAACTGAACTACCAAACGTCAAGTGAACTCAATCTGCTGCCCTGACCTGACAAGAATCCATGAGGTCTTTGGCGATCCCCGTTAGGAAAGAAGTCCAGGCGTGCTACGTCGTACCGCATGCCATCCGCCACCGTTCGTTCATGGCTGACAACGATTCAATGTGATACAGACCAAACAGAACCGGCTATCTGGGCATGCTCAGAGGCTATACATGTTATACTGCAGGATTCTTGAACAGTGAGCCGGGCAGTCGATGTGCAACCGGAGCATAGATGAACGGCGTACATGAACTGAACCCAAAGGGTCACCGGACGCAAAGACATTCCTGGAGGTCGATACGCCCCTTCATGCATGGATTGACCCTAGGATGGTTGTCAACATGCACGCCTCATCTCGTGCTCGACTTGAGTGACGACAGAGCTTGAGTCCTGCGAGACAAAGAATACCATTGATGATGTCTACGACATCGTGATATCTAGTCCATTAAGATTTGAGCACGATGGAGACGCAATAAACTTGGATGTAGTGCTCCCGACTCCGTCCTTAGCTATGATAGGCCATGCTGTAAGACGAGAGGGTCTGTGATGCTTCGGAAATGAGCCCATCCAGTGAGAGCGGAGGCCCTCGACTGTGTCTAGAGAGTTGCCCAGACGGTCCAGCTCCAACGCCGACGTCGACCGAGACTGTCCTGCTGATGACTTGCATACGCCGTCCTTGCCGGTGAGATCTTGGCCGCTTGGCACACCCAATCGGGACTGAGACTGTTCTGGCTGGGGAGTTGTGCGTCCCCGTTGGCGCTTGCTCGAGAGCACAGTGAGCAAGAAGTACGTTGTTGATTCAGACCACTCTTGTTTGTGCAAGGATGAGTTGCGTTGCTCTGGGGTCGAAAGAAAGCTTGACCTACCCCATTTGCGGGGGGAGGGAAGATACAGCAACCCACCTCTCTTGCACGATATGCTGTGTTGCCGGGATTCTTTTCACTTCAGCTAGCATTGGATCGCCTTCCCTGGTGTGCTCTCCCCTCGACCTGTCTGTTACTGTTCACAACAAGCTCTTATGGAATGTTCAGTGCAGATGAGGATTGAAGCTTGGGCCCGACGGCACGGAGGTCCGGTCGTGCATGAGTGGAGTTTTTGCCGCAACAAGTCGGAGATCTTTGAGTCATCATTGTCCCTTGACTGGCTCGGAGAGAGACTTGATTTGGGTTATCATTTGCCATTCTGGATTCGAGAGGGGGATGTGTGGTACGTTTTTTTTTACCCTTTAGGTTGCGTTGCCTGCAGCCTGCATACCTTGTGAGAGTATCCTCCGTCATTGGTTCAAGGATGGTTTTCAGGGAAAGGCGAAGGCGAGCAGTGCGAACGGATGAGCTTGTAGTATTTCTTTGGTGATCGCAAGACGAGCCAAATGACCTCTTTCGAGTAGAGAACCTTTATCGGAGCTATGTGAAGTTATGTCATGGTGGGCCCGGGGATGGTGAGTATTTCCATATGTGCGTATATCCATATGTCCTCGTAGTTGTATGTCAAAAAGTATGTCTCTCGTGTTTACTACTACTATTACTACTACTACTAAGAAATGTTCCCGGAAGCACGCACGGTCCCTGATCGCCCCCTCTTTTTAGTGCCCGCTCAAGTGACCCGTCCGACCGCCCCGAGAGGGTCATCTGCCATAGTGCCAGCCATGATGTGCCATCCCAATTCAGCCACGACGGGATTCCTGGAGTCAATCCATCCATTCATCATTCATCCCATCTTCAAACCCTTTAGTTACTCTTCAGCCTGCTGTGAAATGTAACCAAAAAAGAAAAAGAAAAAGAAAAAGAAAAAAAAACCTTTGTTGACTAGACTTCCTCACTCTGGACCGGGATTTTTCCCGATTGCAGCTCGTTGTCTGCACTACGCACTACTGCCACTACCTAGCTATCTGTCTACTCGGTGGCTAGCTCTCACTCCGACCAGTAATCTTTTGTGACGAGCTCTTGAAAATATTCTCTCCAAAAGAACAAAAGGCACGCGAAACAAGGCTTAGAACGAAAGTCACACAAGTCTAAAAGATGAACTCAATCAGAGAAACCCGGCAATGATGGTTTACATTGCTCGATTCTGCATTCTCATCATCACCATCTAGCATGGCTCATCTCTACAACCTCGCTCCGTCTGCAATCTGGGTCATGATAGCACCTTGCCATGGCGGATCGCCACTCGGTTTGAACATGATACCCATCCCCGATGATCAGGGCCAAGCGCTAGCCAGGTTGCTCGATCATTGCAGGCCCGATGAGCTCCCAGGCAGTGACGATACTTGCCCGACTGGGTCATCCGGACTTCATACGAACCAGAAGCGAGGAGAAGCGCCTGTCTTGTGATTGGTCCTGAAGGGGAAAGGCGTGAGACTCCAAACAGGGAATCTCTCACGGTCGATGACTGGCTGTAGGAGAATAGTCCTCCGGAGTAGTACTGGGGATAGTTGTCGTTTCGGAAAAGGCAGGCGAGCTAGGTGGTAATAGTAGTCGTTGTAGTAGCAAGAGAGTTGAACAATTGAACAAAGAGACCTAAAAAGAAAAAAGGAGGGAAAGGGAGACAGAGACAGAGGAAGAGAATACATAGCTTGGTGTTTCGACCCTGCTATACAGAAACCTACCAGCATTGACACAATGCAGTGTAGCTGGAATACTGAGAAGCGATGATGCGATCACAACCTTCAAAGTGATCTGCCGTAGATATACCTCCTCCCCCATCGCTGCCGACTGACCTCAACCCCGTCTCCGATTCTCTTATCAATGTCCAAGACGGTCGCTACTCTCCATTTTGACTAGCCATCCATCCGTGAGCTAGTCGACGGGGGATTTCCTGGCTTATTATCATCACTTGTTATTGGGATTGTTATCATCACCATCCAAAACGATTGCATGGTTGGCGGAACCGGGTGCACTTGCAGACACTTGACAAGGCTTGACTAACCTACTACCGGTAACTAACTTAAGGAGACTACAGTAACGGACCCTGTCTCGCTGACTTCGTTAGGCTCGGATCTTACACGCCGGAGCTTGCCAATCGTCCGCGTTCGCAGCACCCTTTGATAACCTTTCATTCCCCCCACCCCCTGCCCGTCCTATCTGGCGTTGTTGTTGTTGATTCTGCCGATTTGTTCAGTCCCCTTTTTGGGCTGCCTGGTCTGGCGCGAATTGCTCCTAGACGAGCTTCCTGTTTCGTGGAATTGCATGTGCTCCTCCATTCCAGCACCGGTCCAAGCCACACCCGCTTCTGCTCCGGCCAACACTTATCTCACCTCGTGTTGACCTGCACCGTGCGCGACACCCTCGACTCTCCTTACACACCCTTTCTCCCACCTGGTGCAGAGTCAACGCGGACGCGACCGTTCGCATCGTGGCATCGCTCCCAGTCCCTCAACCGCGCATCTTTTTCCCCCGCGGCGCGGGAAGTGACTTTAGCCCGCGAGACACTACGCTTCACAATCTTGGCTGTCTTACGAACTAGTCGCCTTTGGTCGCGGTTGGCCCAGCGGCAGATCATAACTATCACATCACATAGTATCACTTTCGTGGCTCCATTGCGCGGTTCCATTTTCGCGCAGCTGCTCCTTGGGACCAGCTTCGAGGTAGATGAACCTGGAATCGAACGTCGCAATTCTCGGCCAAATCCACGCCATCATTGCTAAGTCCAGTGCGCTCTGGCTGCCACAAGGAAAGAAAGTTGTGCATTCATCATCTGCGTGGGCTGGAGCACAAAGAACGCGGCCTCCATCCAGTAATCGGGTAGGTGCCGCATTCAGGGCTGACTCCGACTCTCCGTTGTCTTCGGGGAGGGTTTTCGGACGTCTTTGAAGCACAGTTGGCTCTGACTGGCCGATGAAAAGTGGTAGCCCGGGGTGTTTATCATTATCATCGATCAGACGTGCAGGGAGCGGGGGGTTCAATACCAGCACAGGGCCTCTGGTTTGTTCTACCTTTCCGATTGAGACTGCTGGCTGTCCGTCTGCGCAACCCGATCGCCCACATGCTGGATGCATGTTACTAATGCGATTAAAGCAACAAACAGACTTGAGGAAAACGTAAGTTCAAGTTCTTCGTTTGTTTGAAGAAGCGCGCCCTGGGGAGTGATTGCATGCTCTGTTCCATTGTTCTCCGCAAGCGCAATGACGGTTTGAAGAGGAAGGTCCTTTTCATCTGGCATCTTGCGACGTAATCTTCACTTTTCTTCAGTCTCCTGACTGGCTTACTCATCTCTTACTTCACCTTGTTTCTTCATTTATTGGGATCCTTTGATTGGATTTATTTTTTTCTGATTTTTATTTCATAATTTTTTTTCGTTAGAAAAGGCAAGAGAAGCCCGTCCACATTATCTCTCCAACTTATCGTATCATTTGTTGTTAATTATCGTCATTTGGCATTGTTATGTTCATTCTTGGGGATTGATGCGAGTGGCAGCGGGTAGCCAATGCGCGCAAGAGTGGCGCCGCCTTCCCGCCTTTTTCCACTGCACCTCCTCTCTCTGTGTTCCCCCTCTCTTGAGTCGGTCGGGCTTTGAGTCTTGACTCTCCTTTTTTGTTTTTCCCATTCCCCGTCTGAACTAGTCCCAGTTCCCTTTCTTCACTCCCTCCCCCTCATCATCATCATCATCATCATCATCCATCATCCTGTTGTTTCCCCCCTTCCCCCTCCCTCGTCTTCCCTCTTTTCCATTTTTTTCTCTTTTCCTTCCTTTCCAGTCCGGTCTCCAACCCTCCTCCTCCAACCTAACCTTCTTCCCCACTCCACTCAACCTCAGTTTGTACCAACTACCAAGCGTCCCGGTCAGTTTGCCTTGCACCCACGCACGTCTAAACTTCCTTATCCTTTCTTTGGTCACACATAATCCATTGCCGCCCCCCTCCTCCTCCCTTCCCCTAAGTTCCCTTCCACCCACACACACACACACACACACACACACACACACACACACACACAGGCACAGGCACGGGCATACACACACCACACCTCCCCCCCCCCTCTTTTCCCCCGTCATCCCCGTCCCCACTGATCGGTTCCATCAGCGGCACGCTGTGAATCATCCACGGCTGATTTCCAGCTGTGTACCGACTCAGGAATCTACTAGTGGTTTGGTACCTCCACCTGAACTAGGAACCGCTGCGTTCTGCAGACCGGGGGAACCTTGGATTGTTGCATTGTGTTCTTATCTCACCTTCCCCCCTTCCCCCTGCCAGCTAGTAAGCCTCATGTGGCTGTGCATTGTCTGGCAATAACTTCCCTACTTGCTCACTCGCCACACCCCCAATCATCCAATTCAGCCACATTACTTGCACGCATTCTTTGCTTGCTTGCTTGCAGGGTGTTCGTATCTTAAGCCTTCTGTGCATATCCATTCGTATTGTCATTTTTGAGACTGTTTCACTCTTGCATCTCATCTCATCTCTCGTTTGTTTTTCACCACCTTCCATCAACTTGTATCATCATCTCTTGGTGTTAGTGGTTCCATCCCTCACCGCCTCTCTGCCGCTCTGCCTCTCACCGCCTTTATACCCAAATCCTCCCATCATCCTTCGTTATTATTCATTCAATCTCCGTCTGGCGATTTGCTCCAGCCTTTCCGCTGATCCGCTTCCAGCAACCACTGCATGCGCGACTCGTGGCCCGTCCGTCCTCCTTTTGTTCGTCATCACTTGCATCCTCGCCCTCTAGTTCTTCCTTAGGTCTCGCAGCAGCAGCACCACCACTCCTACCACCCATCACAGGGAGCTAACCCAGTCCCCGTCCTCCCCTCCCCTCCCCCCGGTCTGACACTCCGATTGATACCTGTCGCGTTCGCCTGACGCGACCGCCGCCTTGCGACGGCTCCCTCGACTTCTCGCCTCCCTCCCGTCCTTTCTTGGCCCGCCATGTATAGCACTTCCCACTCTTCCGTCCCCGCTCCGATGAATGGGATCGGTGGAGATCTCGTTGATGGCTCGGGCACGATCAACCCTGCAGCCTTAAACAATGGTATGTGTTTGCTTTTCCGCTTGTCTCATCCTGTTACATGCCCGTCCACCTGTCTGTCCCGTGCCTTGATGCTCTTCTCAATCCAACCTAGTTTGTCTCTGTTTGCGCATTGCTTCCAAGGCGAAAGTTGATTGTCGCATCTTATTGGCGCGGTCAACAGCGGTGCAGCCGCTCTGTTGCCGCTGATGGAGGTCATTATGGGTGTCCATTCCTCTTCTACTTGTCCACCGCGACAACCTCCAAACTGACGGCCTTCTCCTAGTCGCCGTTGCCATCCCCCCTTCATCCTTCGGGCCCACGAACCCTAGCATAGCCCCTCGTGGTGTCAAGCGAAGTCGTACCCCAGATCAGCGAGGGAATGCGCGCGCAGATGGGGATCATGACGATGGTATGTGTGCGCTGGATTGTCCGGCAGTTCACTTTGTCGAGCTCGGATGGAGGACGTACAAGTCAGCGTACTTAGTCGCATGCATCCTGTCTTCTTTCACCGAAGCTTTGTGTTTGAACCATGTTGAATTTTGCGCTCGTCGTCTTGTGTTGTCTCTTTGCTCGCTCCCGACGCTCACTACATCTACTTTTACTGGGATCGTGGACTAACGTGCAAATTGTAAACAGCGGACGACCATGGTCGTCGGAAAAGGGGTCGCCCTCCTAAGACGCCACGACCAGCCACAGCATCCAATAGTGACCAGCCAGTCTCGTCCAATGCTCATGCTCAAACCCCGCGGATGCAGACCCAGCCTCTTTCGGCCCAAACATCCGCCAATATATCACCGTCACAAGCTTCTCCGCCCGAGAAAAGCACACCAACCAAGGCTGCTTTGGTCAAGGCTCTTCCGACTGTGCGCGATCACACTACCGACCAGCTGAACGAGGCCGGTGACGAATATGTGCCTAAGGAATTCGACGATGCTGGGGAGAAGAAGGTCGATGATATGGGTTACCTCCAGGGTGGTCGCGAGTACAAATGCCGCACCTTTCGCGTGCCCCTGCGTGGAACCAAGCTGTTCATGCTGGCCACTGAGTGTGCGCGCGTGCTAGGTTACCGAGACTCGTATCTCCTGTTCAACAAGAATCGGTCTCTACATAAGATAATCGCTACCCAGATTGAGAAGGACGATTTGATCCAACAGGACATATTGCCGTACTCATACCGCTCTCGTCAGATTGCCATTGTGACGGCCAAGTCCATGTTCCGCCAATTCGGCAGCCGCGTCATTGTAAACGGACGACGGGTGCGTGATGATTACTGGGAGGGCAAAGCGCGAAAGCAGGGATTCACGGAGGACGATCTCGCAGGCGAAAAACGCCCCGGTGGTGGTACCAAAGCACGCGATGCTGCGGCAGCAGAGGCTGCGGGCGCTGCCAACTTTTTGCCCACCCTGACTCATGGCGATGTCATCTACAGCAACGCACTAGAGGCTGTGCCGAGCAGCATGACGATCGGCGCACCGCCGTCGGTCTCACTCTCGCAGCCGCTCCCAATGATCCACATGGCGACCACCACTGATGACCCACGTTTGAGAGAGTACAACAGCATGCCTCGACCCCGTCAGGAGATGACCGGCCAGCCGTACCAAGACCGGTCACAACCAAGCACAGCTGCGGAAATACTTAATCAAGCTTCGCACACAGCTGACTTCAACAAGGTTCTGACCCAACAGCGCAGCTATCGGCAGAAAGGACTGGAAGATTTCTATTCCAAGCAGCGTGAGATCCCCGCCTCCGCGGCGCCTTCGCAGCCTGGACTACTCGATGCGACCCCAGCAGCCTCCCAGCCAATGCAGTCGCCCCAGATGCCTTCGACCGGGGCGATTAGCCAAGCTCAGCCACCACAAGCGATGCTCCCCCATCAGCCTCCTATGATATCTAGTCAGCCGGGCTTCCAATCTGCAACGGCCCATCAGCAGCCGCCTGTAGCGCAGTCGCCTGCTCGAGGTGTCTCTGCAGCCCGTCCAGAACTTATGCATCAACGTTCAAATCCTGGCCTCCCTGCAGGAACGCCACAGCCACCAGGCCCTTACGGGTATCCCTCCCAGCCGCAGCAGATGTGGGGCCAGCCGCCTCCGCAACCTCAGCCATCGCCCATTTCTGCCGCTGGCCCGCAAGGTGTAGCAATGCCGCAGTTTCCATCCCAGATCCACCCTCAGCAGTCTCCTTCGCCACTCGCGCACTCTCTTCCCCAGCAACATGCCTCTCAGTCGCCCCGCAATCAAGCTCGGCCTTCGGCACCTCCGATGCCGCAGCCGTTCCCAATGCATCCGCAAACACCTCAGCAACAACAAATGGCAGCCATGCCTTTCCCTGGAGTCACCGCTGTGCAGTATCCAGGTATACCTGCCGCACGGGCCATATATCCTTCCACGCAGGGTCCAGCAGGTCAACAGTACATGGCTGGAGCTCCACAGCAACCGGGCATGGCTATGGGGATGAGCCCTGGTGGAGCGATGCCCGGCTGGCCTCCGGCACCTGGCGGCCCGATGCAACCAGGACATCCGCAGCCTGGTCAATCCGGCACTCCTCTCGGATGGTCTGGATATTGAAATTGATAGAGGTTCTAGCTGGCGTTAGTTCACGACGGGAGCATTTGCAGGGTCCTTTCTGCAAGATGCTGTTGAAATTTGAAAGAGACGCATCATTCGGTTTTCCATGAGCTTGAGTCCTGCTTGATCTGATCTGACCTCCTCCCTATCCCATGATGTTGTATCTGACATACCCCATTTCATTCCTGCTCTCTATTATCCTTTGCCCCTGAATAATGGCTAATGATAATCTGCGTTCTTCCCTTGTCTATACCCTTTGTTATACCCTGTCATGTTTTTGTTTCTGTCTATGTGTTCCCCAATGGTGATCTTGCAAGAATCTGAAGCTGAGTTCCGCAGTCACGAATATGGAGATTGTGCATGGTTTTCATATGTCTAGGATAGAGGGGCGGTCAGATGGGATGGCGGTAAATGATTTGTTTCTGCTCTTGGGTTCGGTGTTGTAAGCCCTGGGATATTCCTTTTTTTTTCGCGTTTCCTACATTGGATGATTTTTCTTCCGTTCTGTTTGCATTGATGGTCTTCTGTCTCACTCTACTCCGACCCATTTTACAGTGCTTTTATTTGACAACGGTTTCGTCTGGGCATCCTTATTATGACCTTGTGGTTTTCTTCTGTCTTATCTTGCATACAGATCGGCTTTGTCTCTTCGTCAGATGTCTTATGATTATTCTTCTATGTGTCTATGGTATGCAGATCACGTACAGCTTGCACAGTTTCGGGGATTATTAATGACTAACCCCGTTTTCCACGAGTTGCGCTTCCTGATGTATTGTAGATGAGACCACGAATATTGAAAGTGGAGTCTAATACGCAGCCAGGCAAGGCACTTGACTTGTTCCCCCAATGCATGCCAGATTTTCGTGTGTCCTCATCTACGATGTACACCATGATCCCTTCTTGTAGTTGGGCGGTCTTGCCAGCCGCACTGATCTCGCTACCCAGCTCATTCGCCCGTGACTCCTGGTCTGTTGTCGCCCCCCAGCTCGAGAATAAGTTGTTGTTATATAGCCTTACAGCCAGTCCAAGAACATACATCAATACCAAGATGATATTCCGCAGGGGATAGATTAGGTCTCTCTTGCCCTGTCCCTTTACGCAAGAAACACGGTTCAGTTGTTTCTATGATGATCCCTATGCTTGTCGTCGATCTTCCAATCATCCGTCTACATCATCCCGCCCAAGAGCCGAGCTTCATTCAAGAACAAAAAACAAACAAAAACAAAAACCGAAAACACGCCTGGTAGGTGCGCGTTATCCTTCCTCTTCCCTACTCTAGGCTCTCCCGTACCCCGGTACTCGAGCTTCTTCTTCTGGGGAAACCTTGCATTGCAGACCAGGATAATGAAGAGATTGATTTGGATTGAACATCACATCCCTCCCTCCCTTCTACTGTCTCTGAATGATGGCGGGGCGGGGCGGCCAGGACCCGCTTTCATGGAGCTGGAGCTGGGTTGCGAACTCGATGAAGACTGGGAGGGGGGGTTGATCTGAGAGGGCAGGACAGGACAAGACAGAGCGAGGACGACGATTTCCTTTGCTCCCCGAGGGCGCATTTCCTCGTCTCTTCTTTTCTTTTTCTTATAAGGTGTCTTGAGGGGCTTGGGCTTGGGCTTGGGATGGTGGTGATCACCCACCGGCTTTGCGATGCCACACTGGGGGTGAGAGGATCGGTGGCTCTGGGAAGAAGCGTTGCGTTACAGCCTGCCCAGTGTAAGGTGCTTCGCCTAAGGTGCTTCGCTTCCTGCTTTTTTGGGGGTGAACCTGAACCTGAACCTGAACCTGAGGAGTGGGATGGTGGAGGGAGGGGCTGGACTATACTGTATACTGTACTGTGGTATAAGACAGTGCTGGCTTTCGTTTTACTTTAGTGGATGGATTATAGTGCAAGACAGTGCTTGCTGTGGCAGAACACTTATTCTAGTCCAGTTGGTTTCCTGGTTAACTGTACACGGGGAGAGAGTAATCACCTCTAACTTTCCAGGCTGAGTTGATGTAATGAATGCAAGAGCTACAAAGGATATGATGAAGTGTTGTATCTACGACGTCACGAGAATCAGGAAGAATCTTTTTCTTGGTTTGTTCAAACGTGAGACTCGGCGGTTGGTGTTCGTTCTGCCTCTGCAGCCACAACACACTCCTGCCTCGTCACCCCTCCAGATTATATGTATTACAGTAAGTAGTGGTAGTAGTAGTAGTAGTAAATACGTGACAAGGTGATGTGAACCAATGCCTCCAAATGTCCAGATGTCCACACGCGCTCACACAGAAAAAAAAAGCAAACAGCCGCTTCCAAAACTTTCACATGCTTGTTCCCAAAACAAGAAGTTATGATTGAACCCTTGGCTCAAAGGTAAGGAAAAAGAAATGCTCCTGGAATCAGCCACACGTGGCCTGGGGGATATATATGTAATGCCAACAAGGGTTCCACAGATGAAGAAGAAAGTCAAACGAAACCAGTCATGGCCCTGACGGAAGATAAAACGCAGGGGGGGGAATAAGTACATGTGACCGGTGAGCTGGGTGGGGGGTATTATTATTCGCACAATTCCAACCAAAATAATAACTCAGAAGTCATTCGGGGTTTTGTTGTTGGCAAACGTGTATGCCTCTGGTTTCTGCGAAGGAAGCTGTTGTGCGCCATATCGCTGGGCCTCCTGCTGCTCGGGGAACTCATAGATGAATTCCCGAGGCTTCGAGTCGCCTCCCAGCGCAGCTGACATGGGCATGTCCACATCGGTAGTTGTGTACACCAACGACGGAGAGTCCGTCACGGGAACATGTTCGGCGCTGTTGTCATACGACATCGAAGCCATGTCCGGCTGCGGTGGGACTTGGCAGGGGCTTTGGAAAGAAGCTTCCGGGGATGACATGGAGGTCGCATCGGGCCAGCTTCTGCCTGTCATCGAGGTTTCGCATGATGTGTAGTCATGGAAGGAGTTGTAGTGAGCGGGAGCCGACATTGGCGGAGCGCCCCCGTGATACGGATACCCGGAAAGCATATCCACTGCCAACGGTGTCGCCGGAGGGGAGGCAATGTTGATCTGCATCGGCTGTGTCGTGGGAAACAGCTGGCTGGTGGGTTGTGCTGACAGACAGTAGCCTGCATCACTTGGGGTGTTCGGAAGCAAGTGATGCAGATCCTCTGGGGTCAGAGGGGTGGGGGGTGCTAATCCACCTGCGGTCACCGTGGGTTGCAACATCGATGACATTTCGGCTTTGGAATTGAGAGATCCCGCTTCGGCAAAAGTCGAAAGGTTGAGAGGCGAGCGTTGTGCGGCAGACGCCTTTCTCACACCTGCGTAACGAGAGCTGAGTCCTTGCGCCGATTTCGAGTGTCTCATGCTACCGTAGCCAGGGAGTCTCCCTGTTGGTGACATAGCCGACGAGCCTGAGAGCATAGACGAAGACCTAGAGGTACCAATCGCAGCAGGCCTCGGGCGTTTTCTGCGAGCAGCCAGGTCAAGTTCCTTGCCTGCCTCTCTCCACGATGCTCGGTCGGCCCCGTGAACGAGCTGCGACAGCCCTTGCGGAGTGTTGATTCCAATACCTTCGAAGCTGTCAGCGAGCTCGTCGGACGAGCCCCGTCGACACGATTCTAGGTCTTGATGGATGGGATATTGAACCGTATTGTAGGAAGCCTCCGCGTCACTAGCTGATCGGTACCCGGAGATTGGCTTGGTCGACGATTGCATGTGACCGGCCCAGTCTTCAGAGTGGAGCTGCATACCGTGAGGGCTTTCAAGAGTGGGAATAGTCAGCGACTCGCCACCCGCCGTTACAAAGTCCAGGGAGGTCTGAGATGGCTCCCAGGGAAGCGTCGTCTGTGCATACGAAGGACTCAGATCACCCGAGCTAACTCCGTGTTCGTCATGGCTATCACTTCGGGGGTTGGCCGCGAAGGTCGTGGTAGGAGACACCGACCCATCCACGCTAGCCGGGTGGCTGTTGTCCCCGTCTTGGCTGTACCGATCGCGCGCCGCAACAGCAGCGTTCAAAGCTCTTTGTAGAGACGCGAAAGTTGCCTCTCGGGCCGACTCACTCCTTGTCTTCTGGTGCTTGGACCGCGAAGAGGAAGACATCGTCTTTGTCCGCTCACTAGGTTTCTCGGTCGATGGCTTGGGAGTATCTTCGTGCGCCTCATCGCTCTTGGTCTTGGAGTCTTGATTCGACTCGGACGAGGTCTCTGTGTTGTCTGACTTCCCCCGAGCAGCCTCTTCGGCCTCGGCCTTGGCCTTCTGCATTCTCTCGAATTCCTCTTGGCGCTTCTGTTGCTTCGCCTTTGCCCGACGGTTCTGGAACCAGTTCTAAATAACCATTAGCTTTGAAATCTCCCACAATCTTTCATTTCACGACCGAAGACCACTAACCGCTACACGGGGGAGGCTGAGATTCGTTTGCGCCGCCAATTGACGCTTAACATTGCTGCTGGGCTTGGGGTGGGCTTGAAATTGGGCTTCCAGAGTCTCCACCTGTTCCTTGGTCAACCTCGGACGCGAGAGGTTCTCTGCATATTCGTCGTAGTCCATGATAGGCTGGTGATAGAAATCGACCATGTCGAACGGGGGGTGTGGGTAGAGGTAGCCATCCATCGGGTGCATCATGGAGGGATGGGTCATTGTCGGATCGAAGGCTACTGGTTGATGATCCATCGGCATGCCCGTAAAGGCGTATGTGTGATGAAGGTAGTTCATGTTGACGGACGAGAAAGTGTAGGAGAGATGAGCGAGGAAGGAGGATATGAGAAGGGTGGTCTTGTATTGGGGAGTTGTCTGATTGGGATGGGGTGGAATGCGGTGCGGTGCGATGCGATGCGATGCGGTGCTGGTGACCAAGTGTTCGAGGGATCCTGACAAGCTGCTGCCAACCGAGCTGCAACTATGACGAGGACAGGGACTTGGTCATTGAACAATTGGACCACCAAAGACTGACTGATGACGATACTGGATAGGAGTAGGAGGGGCGAATAGATGTGGAATAGGGCGGGAAGATCGGATCTTAAAGGGCGAGGATAAGAGATGAAGTGGCGGTAATGATTGGAACGAGTAGACTGGAAGTAGCGGGGAGTATATAATTCTATACTTGCAGTCGATCTGTGGATTCTCGTGTAAAATAGGAAAAAAGAAAACAATTGTCAGAGAGAGTGTAAGAGGAGTAGCCCAGGAGAAGATAGTGGAGGTGGATGCGACGAAGGAGGAGGGGGGGGGGGGACAGCCAAAACGCAAGAGGATCAAGGAAGGTATAATTATTATGTCCGATGAGGAAACACAGAAAAGGAAAAAGGAGAGAGCGACTAAGCTGACTGGGAAAAGCAAGAATAAAAAGTGTGAAAATGAATGACTGAAAGAGGAAAAGGAGAGTAAGAGGTGAGGTGAAGTTTGAAGGGAAGGAAAATGAGAGAGTGACGATGGATGATGGGATAGGGACGAAAGGGAAAAACAAAAAAGAGACAAGACAGCAGAGGATGGAATGGATTGGATTGACAGAGGCAGGCAGAGCTAAAGACAACAGCAGCAGCAGCAGCAGCAAGACAAGAGAGCAAGAGACAAGACAGCAACAGACAATTACAGACGAAACAGACGAAACAGACCAGACCAGACCAGACCAGACAAGACAAGACAAGACAGTACAGAGCTGGTACAATCAGTGCAGTGGTCAGTGAGTGAGTGACTGTTCAGCTCCATACTGCTTTGCTCAGTTGGGATTGGTTGGCAGTGAATGGAGTCAGTCGACAGAAGGTGTGGAGGGGAGACTGATGATTGGCGATCGCCCAACCGGAACTGGCTGGAGGTGCAAAGCTGCAAAGCTGCAAATGTGCAAATGTGCAAATGTGCAAAAAAAAAAAAAAAAAAAAAAAGACTCCAAGATTCAAGTCTGGGCCGGCTCAACTAGTATCAGGGCCGTATTGTAATCCTACACTGCTGGGAAATCTCCTGCAGCCTGCTCTTTGCTTTTTCTCCCTTTCCTTTCTTTCCTGCTGTTGATTTACACCATCAATTGTTGGCTGAATCTGATGGTTGCTGTCTTCATCAGCTTCCACCCAAACTTCTCATTCATCGTTTATTTTATCAACAATGCCCTACCATTGAATCGCCCAGCCAAGAGCCAGACGATACCGAGGAACCAGATGGATCCATGATCATGGATGGATGGAGCAAGTTCCTGCCCGTTCGGGACTAGCCGAGCTGACCGGATAACGAGCCCATTACCAGGTACCGTACGGGAGGGATTTCTCCAATTTATTCTTTTGTTTTAGAGAAATAATAATGTTCCTGGATGGATTTTATTTTTCAGTTCCAGTTATGGCGTTCCACTTCCACTTGACTTCCATTTGCCCCTCCCCCTTCCCTTCCCACCCCCAAAAGACAGCCCAGAGAGCAAAGCGCTTTCTACCTAAGGGGGTGGCGGGCTGGGCTTACACATTTCTATCACCCACCTACCTACGAGTACGAAGCCCTTCAGGAGTGTGTGTGCCTCCGCGGTTGCCCGCTCGCTCGCTCTTTCTCTGTGTCTCCGTACCCTTTTTATTTTTAAAAATAACTCACCCTCAAGGCTGGCGGGCTAGCTGGCATACCCCCATTCCCTGGTGGTTCCAGAAGAGCAAAACAGAGCGAGGCGTGGGCAGTCGGTTCCGGGTATCCCTGGATACTGTTTGTACTGTGTACAGTACTTCTGACAGTCGTACTTATCGACTCCGTAGCTGAAGCACAGTACGTGTACTTCCGAGCCTACAGGTGCCACTGCCCCCTCCTTCTCCTCTTTCTTCTTCTTCAAAAGAACAATTGAGTCAGAAAGAGACAGATATTGCCAAGAGGGTCTCAGCAGAGTGAATCAAGTCCCCCTCCGCGGTGGCGGTGACGGTTGGTCTATCTTTCGGGGCTCAGGATCGGTCGCTATCGCCAGGCCGATCGTACGGAGACGAAGGAATGGGTCCACGATGCAACCTGTGCCTCAGAGGATGGATGCTCAATTGCTTTTTTTCCCTTCCTCGTTATCGTCAGATCCGTCCGAGCGGTGCCGGAAGAAGAGGGCGGCGCGCCCCAGATTGATCGGATTCCATCTTTCCCTAGCAAGAGGAGGAGGAGGAGGAGGAGAAGGTTGATGCTTTCCGCCCGTGCCGGAAATGCGAACGACCTATTGGTCTGACTCTCCTTTGCACCCTGGAGTCCGATGGTTCTTATCATATTATGAGTTTTTGTGGATGGATGTGTAGTACAAAGTTTACCTGCTCACGTAACTGTTGGAGGATGGCTTGGCGGAGATCTAAGTTTGTTGAGTTTGAGTGTGTTCCTCCCCCCTTGGACCAGAGCCCTCAGAGCCCTACGTACAGTACCACACTCGGGCCGGGGAGCTCTGGGTCAACCACGGATAACTTGTTCTGCCCCTTCCGCACAACCGCCTCGTCTCGACATCCAAACTTCCCCCCTCTCCCCCTCCAATGCTTCCCGGGGAATGCGAACTCTGGATTCCAGTCAAAGTTTGGCCGATCAAGCTCCTGTGTCAGCTCGAATTGACAGTCTGGCCCAGTTCCCCGGGATTCATGATTCAGAACATGGCTGGAGGTGCGAAAGCTGCGTAGAGCGCCCATCCGTACGCCGGGCTGGGAGCGTTCCCTGGACTTTCGTCAGTTCCTGCATTAGCGCCACTAACATTAAGGGCCGATTTTAGCTCTTACCAGGGGGAGGGGTTCCATCTGGGGAGATCCGATAAAGACAGTTGCTTGTAGTTCCATTTGCACCCTCCTCCATGGTTAGCAAGATGATAACAGCTGGGACAGTAACAGCAGCTGCTGCTGTTACTGCTGCTCACCCTTCCAAGTGCAGGAAGAGCTGCAACGTCACGTCTCACGTCTTACCGTGCAGAGAAAAAGCAACTTTCGACAAGACCGTCACGACCCCCCAAGTGGGTCCTGCGCTGAATAGAGTCAGTTGGTAGCCTGAGGGAAAGTCTGGCATAACCAAGATATGAGTAGGTGTGCGGTGGGTTTGGCCCAGCTCAGGGTTTGATCCTACTGGGCCATACAGCGATCACGGGGACTTTGGGGAGGGAATCGGGGTGCGGTCCATGGTTTGTCCCAAGCGGCGCTTAAGATACACCGTACGTACAGTAAAGTACATATGCTGTATCCGGTTTAGTTCCCCAGCGGTCCGAAGATCCCTCTCTTGTCCGGGAGGCCCCCCCCCCCAACTTCCGATTGATATTTGATGATCTTAAGAAGAAAAGAAGCAAACCCTTGGGCCTTGGGGGCCCTATCATATGAAACCTTAGGCACACTTGGCCCATGAATGATTAACGACCAGCACGTCTACCATAGCCTGCCTAGTCCAGTACATAGGCTCGGGCTGTCATCACATGATGGCAATCCTCCTGTCGGGTCTCCGCAAAAGCATGATGGGCATGATGTGATGATGGCTCGGGGGGGATTCTGTCTGGGTCAAAATTCACTTATCTTATTACGTTTAGCCTCGTACTGTACTCCGTACTGTACATCCGCAATACTCACTTACACCCACGGTACAGGATGTACTGTACGGTATGCACCCCTACCTTGTCCCATCCTTCGCACTTCCTCGAGAACGCACAATAGCGAAACAATCAAGCGGGGAAGTGGCCGACCAGAAGGAAGCATTGAGTCAATGCGTTTTCCGGGGCCTACTTTTACTGCATGCAGCAAAAGCGAGACTGCGCATTGGCATAATGGCGTGAATAACCTTCATTGTTCCGTTTGGGTGAACCAAGGACCAGGACCAGGATCAGGACCAGAACCAGAAAGCAGCTGGCACGGATCTCCAGGACCTGCCTGTCAACCTTCTTTTTTCTCCCTGCCCGCAAGGTTCCTACGGTAGGTCAGGAAGAGCTTGAAGTTCCTGGATCTGCAAAGGCCGAACCCCCCGGTCAGCACTAAAGCAATTCGAAAGGGAGCAATTGAGGGAGACACCTCAGGAAAGTCAGCACTAGAGAAGATCAGACTTGAAGATTAAAGACACTGGGGTGTGTTTGCTGCAAGTTGCAACAGCGTGGCAGCTCAACCAGCCTAAGGCCCCACCGCAATCCAATAGTCGACAGATCCTCCGTCGATCAGCCTCAGGGATCTGTGGGTTTTTTTCTTTCGAACGAACGAGCTTCGACTTGCCTTCCCTGTCCCTTCCATTCGAATAGCTTACTTCCGAGTTGGAAGTGAATCTGGTGAATGAAATTTGATACCAACATTCCTTCCATCTAAAGAATGGGCTCCCAGACAGCGGCCCGTTCTTGCCTGTGGCAGACTGTCAAAAATGACTCGGGAGAAAAACTGGAAAAAAACATGCTCTTTCCTTTTTCGGTGCTAGTTCGGCATGCAGGCCGAAGAAGCGCCCGCGCGTCAATCAATCTCATGGGCTTACCTGCCTCCAGTAATCCGTAGTACTCTCCGTACGGGTCGGAGTAGGTAGTCACTGGAGAAGCTGCTCACGGCCTTTCCAATTTTCATGGTCATGTTAGGGGCTTCTTAGTTCAAACGCCATCATATGCGCTCTCGCCACACCGGTGCTCGATGGGCAATCAGTCGATTACTCCGTACTGTAACTACGGAGGCACAGCAATACTTACGGCTCAAAGATTCGCCCATCTGATATACATCTGCATGCATGCCATGTGTGCATGGGTCACTACCCTGTTCTTCGGCTGCCTTTGTGAGGTTATTGAGCCCTTTCGGTCTGTATCCAGTAATCTTGGAGGCATTGGTTCCATTGACAGTTGAAACGTTACCAGGTTCGAAGGCCCAATCGCGATCCCGTGAGCGATCACTGCATCCATTGTGTTGATTCCACGATAAAGTCTCTGGGAAGGCTCTCAAACCTACCAGAAGCCCAGTCTTGCCTCCTAGTGCATGCTTGTCTACGGAATCTGGTGTGCCTCATATTCATAGATGCCTGGGGCTCTGGGGAAGGACTTCGAAACATGGGTGGACACCAATAACTTAATTCCGGGGCAACGGATCGTCAGTATGTGCAGTACGGATGGTGGATGGAGAAGTCGTCAGTCTCACTATGTCCACCGTCGTAGCTCCCGACGGGGCTAGATGCTGACTTACTTCCTGGCTGTTGCTTGTAGGCTATTCCAGGACTCCGCTCGGGTGACCGGGGATTGCATCAAACCAAGCACCTGTTTGCATCGATCCTTCGCTGGTTCACGTGTGGGATACAGCTATTCGGTTGAACTTATCGCGATAAGCGGTTCAGGCCACTCAATGCGTGCTCCAGATTACAGTTACCCACTTAGCATGGGTGATGGGTTTGAAGTACGGAGTAGAGGGTGGGGGTTCATGTTGAGTAACTTGGCCCTTGGACCAACCAGCACTGGCAACACCATGCATCACATCTTGGAGCTAACCAACAATCCCTCCATCTACAACAAATACAGATTTTCCGGGGCATGGGAGGGGATTCTCCTGTCTGGAATAACCCCCCTGGGGCGATCCCGCAAGCATCCGCACAGATCCTTTCCCCGGTGGTTTGCTGAGGATCAATGGGATCGAACAGAGGCCGTTGTCGACCGACAGAGAGGGGATTCTCAAAAAATGGACCCTGGAAAGGGGAGCAGCAACTGCGAGTGGGATGCAGAAAAAGGAAATAAAATCCCCGATGATCCTCGGTGCATGGATGTGATTATTCTGTAATACCTGGGCAGAGGGGGGGGGGGGAGCGTGTACCATGATGAGGAGCGTCGATTGCACTACAGCCCGCCCTTCCTGGAAGCCTCATTTGACGATAATCTCACCAAGCCTCTAAGCTCGACTGGGGCCCGCAGGTCGATCCCCTCCTCATGAATGACATGGGGGCATCCCTGTCTGGGTATAAGGTTGACTTGGCACCGGGGGATCCTCCTCTACTGCCTGTAATCCACCACCCGGACAGTTCAAACCTCCAGCGCTTCCATTCCCCTGGGTCAGATCATTGCTCATTGCGTCCGCCGTCAACAAAGCAGACTAGGCTGACCCTCAGGCGCTGCACTGCCGGTCGGCACTTTTAGCATGCGACAATCATTTTCTATCAGGGGCTGATGGAAGAATTATAGAAGGAAGACGGCGAACGAACACTCCACGCAAAGACAGCGGGCTCGAGCTTTGGGCGTGGTGTGATCGCAAGCTATCAGCCCCTCCTTAGACTCCTTGTCTGCATGAACCGACATTTGGATTCCTGGTGGTGTCTCCGTCGGTGCGACTTGAGCCGTCCCTGTAACAAGACCTGCAGCGCCACAGTGCATGAAGTGGCGGTGCTGAATGGTCGGAGTAAGCTAGGCTCAGTCTGGTAGCATCAGCCACTATCCATGATGATCGACACCACCTGACTATCCTAGCGGTGCCTTAGCCCTGAGGCAATCTTTAGCTTGGGCTTAAATTACCGGTAGAAGTGAAGCTGCTGCAGTAGTGCAAACTTACCTGAGTTCACCACACCACCAAAACTTATCACTCCTCCACTCCACTAAACTCGCATCGGCTCCAAACTCAGAAACCTGGCTAGATCGTATCAGGATCGTGTCATGTTCTGTGAGAGAGAGCCACAAAAGAAAAGCATTCCTAGGATTTGTCAGTTCGCCACCACGGCTCGATCCATAGGCCATGGCCCTACGATCGTCCTACTATCCCTGCTCCTGACCCGGGCATCTCTGATTCTATCACTTTGTGACTGTACGACTCTGCTCAGCGCTTCAGGGTGGCCGCCGCTATTCCTGAGGAGTCCCTTGTCAAGTTCCAATTTCGACCAGGACGGTGAATGTTTCGGTGACGCTTGGCGGACGATGGCACACCAGGCGATTGAGATCAATTCATTGCTGCCTGAAGCAATGCTGCTGTAACAATCTAAGCCCTGTTTTGATCTCTTGCTCGGTGTTCACTCTCTTCTGCTAGCCCAGTATTTCCGGATGGCAAGCTCTCAATCCGATTCAGCCATCGTTATTGCGGATTCCGCGGTATACCAGCCTCCAGAAAGTTGTGTCTTTCGGGGAGCAACAAAACCGAGAAAGAAACAAAAAAAAATCACATCCAGGGAAGCGAAAAGCTCCATCCCTTGCAGAGGGCGTCAGACACAGCTTTGAAGGCTCTCTCGACTGAGAAGCTCGGCTCGATCTTCCAGCCCGGGAGCTGCAGCAGGGATCATGACGATCCACACGGACCTCGTCCGCAAATTTCGACATGTCTGTTTTCCAGAACCTGATCTGCCTTTTCGGTCAACGAGGCGAAATCTCTTAGGACTTGCACTTGTGCGAACATCGCCGGCAAGAAGGAGACATGTCTCATTTTTTTCCTGTGATGTTTAGCTTCCCTGGAAGCTGTACAGAAGATTCTGCAGGTCTGACTCTGCTCGTGTACCTCTCAAACGGGTGGTGACCCTAGGATAATCTGGGATATAGGTTCGTTTCGATCCTCACACGCCGCCCGGGTCTTAGCTTATTGCGTTTCAGTCTCGGTCTACGTCGGACAGCGTTATCTGCAGCGAAGAAAACCGCGTCTCCACATCCAGTCGGACTGAGAACTATGTATTCGGTCTAGACGAGCCACCGTTGGAGCAGTTGTATGGAGGTCGGTAACGGCTGGTGCGAGAGTGCACTGCGGCAGCCACCATGCAATAAGACCGATGTCTGTTGCTGGTGGTTTGTTCGTTTTCTTCCGAAAAACCCCCCCGTCCTTTTTCTTTTCCAAGGCACGGAAAACCACAGAGAGAGGACTTCTTGTTGCAAATCATGGACCCATCTGTGGGTGGGGGAGGAAAACAAACGCGCATACATACGTGATACATCTCCGGGCTCTTTTTCTTCTGTCTCCCAAGATTTGTCGGTGAGCACGCACGCTTCGCGACGACCCTATTCAACAGTCAACCGTTTAACTTAATCTGATGATTTATTGCATCGATTACAATCCCGAGACCTTCCTATTCCGCTCCAATGGATAGGATCTGTCACGGTAGGGCGAGGACTTCGTCGAAGGTCGGTGAAGATGAACGACTTCTTTTGTGGTCGGACAATATTTTGCCATTCTTCATCGGGAGAAAAATCACTCGGGTTCCTTCTGTGTTTGTCCGCTCTTTTTTCCTCTGAACAACTCCCGGTGGTTTTTATCTTTCCCTGCAGGAAGGAAGGTCACGGCTCACCGCTAGCTACGGTACTCCGTGGTTAGTTGACCATCATCACAGCGGAAGGGCCAAAAGTCTTCGTTCGGGCTTTCGGTGTCCAATGCGAACAATACCATGGAGGTTCCCGAGACACCGAATGGAAGAGACTTGCTCCCTGCTAGCGGTAGGGATACTGGACCTCTGACCTGGCCAATCCCGGTGGGGGGTCGTGTGGGGGTTTCGAGGTGGAGATTTCGGGAGTACCGCGTAGGTAGCTCGCTTACTCCGTACGGAGACTCGTCGCCCCCTCCTCTTCTGCTGCTGCTGCTGCTGCACTTGTGACCTTGAATGCTGTCTGTGAAACGGGCACAATGTGTTCCAGCGGGGGTATGTACTGTCCTGTACATGTACAGTCTACCAAGGTCACTCCGTAGCCTCCTCCAGAATAATCCCATAGCTATCCCATAGCTATTCCACACCAAGAAGCGCAGTAACCTCCTGCACACATGTACCAGTAACCAAAGCCCCAAGAACAAGTCACCCGGTACCCAGTAGTTAACCAAGAATAACCCCGTTCCCCGAACACTACACAAATCTAGCCCGAAGGGTATTGCAGTCTGGAAGACGAAACAACCCACCCCATACTAGTATACAAGCATGCATGCTCCGCCCGGGGGAGGGGGGGGGGTCATCGCGCGAAGCTCGAAAATTGCAAATTGACATCCATTCCATCCATTGCCACAGAAGACAAACTGTTCCACTTGGGAGGCGAGGTGGCTGGTTCGGATGCCAATTGCCACTGTCTGGTGCCATTCACCGAATTGCTGTCGGGATTACGTGCTGTCAAGGATTGCTCTTGGGGTACGGAGTACGGTATGGGACTTGGTTGCTGGATAAGGTATGGGCTTAGCCTACTAGTTATACCTTAGTCTATAGCGGAGGGCGGAGTAGTGGTTGGTAAAGTGGGTGTTGGGGTTTACCTTGTTGCTGCTGGTGCAGTGTTTTTGTCACTAGGTTGAGGAGGAAGTTTGATATCAAGTACAGTAAGTACGCTTCATGTACATATCTCTCTGGTGGCAAGGGTGGATGGCAACAACAGTCTCGACATGCTGTGCCTCGTGTAGTAGTTCAGTCACAGTCATACTGTGACATCGTTCGCCCATACCAGGACCTCAGGCCTCGGCGGGTGGGTTGATACATAGTTACCTCCCTGATTACTTGGTAAGTACCCCAGTGATATCTAGATATCTAGATATCTACTGACAGCAATTGAGCATTGCATTCAAATACTAAGTCCCAGAACCCTCCTCACTCATCAAAACTAGTTACATCTCCCCCTACATCCTCCAACGTCCAAACCAATATCATTTACGTCATTGATACCCTTCTATCTTTCCACAGAAACCAGAAATCTCAACAACTTGCTACAGCATATCCACACTCTAAACCACCAGAACCCCTCACTATGGCCTCGGAAATAAAGTAATCCCACTAAACCAAAGACCAACTCCCCCTCCATCCACACTCCCATCCCTATCGAACTGCACATCGACAACACATGTAGACCATGAAGACCCGAAAGCGCGTGAGCAGCGCACCCCGCAAAATCCACCTACAGTATCTACCTGACCCGAATCCAATCCCATAGATCTGAAGCCAGAGCCATGCCGCAACCGATAATCCGTTCTCATCGGCCGTTGATGAAGTATGCCACAGGGCACGGCTGACGGGTCTGGACCCTTTGCTTCCGGGCTACCTGTTCGTTTTACCTGTGCCTTGTTCTGGGTATCACGATGAGATTGGGGTTATGAGTCGGTATCTGTGGGTAAGTATGTAGGTATGTACAATTGGTTGAGGGGGGCAGTATGTGGGATAGAATCTCTTCTATCGTCATAAGACTCCTTTCTTTGATCTGCATGAGAGATGAGAGCTGGGATATCTTTCTCTGTCGAGGGTATGAAGGTTATGAGGTGGGTATGAGGGTCAGAGGGTAAGAGGGCCTGGGGATCTAGATGGGTTTCTGAGTGGAAGGTAACTAGTGGTCATGATTTGTATGAGGAAGTCAATAGTGTGTTCCTCTAAGGCCGTTCGAGTGGCTACTTAGTCGGCCGCTTACAGAACTTAGGAGCTGGATGGTTTGGATCGGCTTGTCGGGTCTAGCCTGGTATGGCGAGGTCTAGTGCTACTGTACGGGATACTTGTCGGGTCGGGTTGTCGCGAGGACTTCATGGGTACTGTACATGGGCATGATACCAGGTCTATTCACCTTGGTGTTCGGTGTTCACCGGCGGGGTTATGGCGAATAGAGTACACCCTCTGCCAGAAGGGCAGGATGGATGTGTCGGGTTGTGTAGATCTATGGCTGCATGGGCATCGGGTCTGGTTCTGGGAGTTATCTGATACTTCTGTGTAGCTGGCTGGCTGACCATTCTAGTCTTATGTCGATCTATGATGCTAAATATGTACAATGCGAATGTTGTCAGGTCTGTGTCTATCTAAGCTGGAAGGCAAATCTTGGCTCCAAAGATACAGCAGTAGGAAACAGAGAAATCACCAAGAAGGCATCTTCATCGAGGGAAGGGGGGTGGGTCTGCCACTACTACTTCCATGCCGAGCCAGTCTAGCCTCTTTCTATCCTTCTATCCTACGCATCTATGCCTCAAAGGCATTTCGCACCTCCAGCTCAATCCGTCCATCCACCACGCTCTTGACGCTGATGCTCCGCAGGTCCTCGATGATCACATCCGCCCCGGCCGCCTGAAGTTGCTCCAGCGTGTGGGTCGTCGTCAACGCAATGACTGTGAACCCAGCCGCCTTGCCCGCCTTGATTCCCGAGGGCGCATCCTCCAGCACGACCAGCGCGGGCGAATGCTCCAGACCCAATCGTGTCCGACCCAAGAGATAGCACCGCGGGTCGGGCTTGCCCAGCTCGACGTCCTCGGCCACGACCAACACGTCCGGGTGCGTGAGGTTCAGCACGCCCAGCCAGCCTTCGAGCAGGGCGCGCGTTCCGGATGTCACCACCCCCCAGCGAGCGCCCGCCTCGTCCAACGCTGACAGCAGGGACCGCGCGCCGGGAATCTCAACGGCGTCGGATCCGTACTCCTGAGGGATACGACCCTCCACGTAGCTGACGTCTGTGGTGTTGTCAGCGCTGCGCTGTTGTGCGTTTGCTTTTTTTTTTTTTTTTTGGTGGACTTTCACAGCAAGGAAGGGTCTGTGTGTTGAGGAGATCGGGTGTTGCTTTGGAGGGGATTCAGGAAATTCGATCTGAACTGTGTAATGGCGTGCGTGTACAGTACAATCAAAACAAGACTTACACTCCCAGTTGGCCTTCGTCGGGTCATACAGCTGCAGCGTATCAATGCTTCGGCGTCCGTGTGAGGTCGCCAGGATCGTCGCGGGGTCGACGCCTAACTCCGCGCCAATTCTGCAATGGCGAAATGTCGCCACGGTTAGCGATGTTCCGACAGAAGTTGTACGGGTTGCGGTTTGGGGTTGTTGTATAGAGGACTGGACTGAACTAACTTGTGCCAATGTTTCACGATCGCTGGTGCGGGGGAGAAAAGAGAAGGATCAGAGCGTCAGTTTCGATCGATCGAGGTGCCAGTGTGCGACGGGGCGAGAATGCAATTCTTAAATAGACTTATGGCAAATTTTCCGAGGGCACTTACCATCGGTTGAGTCGACGATGGTACCGTCAAAGTCGGAAAGAAGACCGTCAAAGGTGAGGATTTGCGGAGGGGCAGAGAACGAGCCGGTTGAGTTGGACATGATAAGAGCGGGGTCCGGAGTAGGACAGCGGACTGGTGATGCAGAAGAGTGGAGAGAGGTGCTGTAAGCAGTAATAGAGATTCTTTCTAGAGCGAAGCTGTAGGATAGAGCGAAGTAAGGAGCGGACACAGTCCTCTGCGAACGATTGACGGGAATAGGCCGAAGAGTAAATGTACCGATTGTTTTTGTGGGATGGCATGAGATGATGGAGATAAGTGATTGATTAGGTGATTGTCCCGCGCGAGACACAGAAGCCTCGGAGATCGGCCAAACATGGGGCCGGTTATCTTAGCGTCAAATCTTGGCGGCACAAAATTGTTGTTCGCAGCGACTCGATTTTCGCTGGCCTCGCAGATCAGTTTGCTCGGCCTTGATCGCTTCTTTGTGTCTGTGATTTGATCTTTGCCAGATTATTCAAGATGGTCAAGCTCGGTAGGTTTGCTCCTGCACTACTTTTCCTCTTTCGCAGAAACTGACCCTTTCCCAGGCAAGAACTCCAAGCGGGTGCCCGTCCGCTTGAGGCACAAGATTGAAAAAGCCTCTGCGGCGAAGCAGCGCAAGATGAGAAAGCTCGCCAAGAAGGTAAACACCCTCCTGTCTCTTTGCTGGGTCAGTATATCCAGCTGACACGGCTACTAGAACCCCGAATGGCGGTCCAAGATTAAGAAGGATCCCGGTATCCCCAACCTCTTCCCCCACAAGGACAAGATCCTGCACGAGATCGAGGAGAAGAAGCGCTTGAAGGCGGAGGAGCAGGAACGTATCCGTGAGGAAGCCCGCGCGCGCCGCGCCGCACAGAAGGAATCCGGAGAGCAGGGCGCTCAGACTGGCGCGGCGATCGACGAAAACGATCTTCTCGATGATGAGATGGACGAGGACGATTCGTCGAACCCCATGGCTGCGCTGCTTGCTTCGGCCCGGGCTCGTGCCGCCGAGTACAGCGACAGCGAGGAGGATGACGATGACGAGATGGACGACGACGAGGAGGATGACGACGATGACATGGAAATGGACGAGGAGGATGGTGGCGCTTCCCTGGAGAACATTGCCGCCCCCTCGTTAGCAGCACAGTTGACCTCCAAGGAGAGCTCGCGGAAAGCCTTCGACAAGGTCTTCAAGCAGGTCGTGGATGCCGCCGATGTGGTCCTGTATGTGCTGGATGCTCGCGACCCCGAGGGCACTCGGTCCAAGGAGGTGGAGCGCGCCATCATGGCCGCCGACCGTGGCTCGAAGCGGTTGATCCTGATCCTCAACAAGATCGATCTCGTTCCCCCTCCGGTCCTCAAGGACTGGCTGATCCACCTGCGTCGCTACTTCCCTACTCTGCCTCTCAAGGCCTCCAACGGCTCGGGCAACGCGCACACGTTCGACCACAAGCAATTGACGGTGAAGGGTACCTCGGAGACTCTCTTCCGTGCTCTCAAGACGTATTCACAGAGCAAGCAGCTCAAGCGATCCATCTCCGTGGGTGTGATCGGGTACCCCAACGTCGGTAAATCGTCCGTCATCAACGCCCTGACGGCCCGCATGAACAAGGGCTCCAGCAACGCCTGCCCGACTGGCGCCGAGGCCGGTGTGACCACCAGCTTGCGGGAGGTGAAGTTGGACAGCAAGCTCAAGCTGATCGACTCCCCCGGTATTGTCTTCCCCAACGCGGGCGAGAAGAGCAGCGGCAGCAGCAAGAAGGGCAAGAAGAAGCAGGAGGAGCACGCTCGTTTGATCCTGCTGAACGCGGTCCCCCCGAAGCACATCGAAGACCCGGTCCCCGCCGTGTCTCTGCTGCTCAAGCGGTTGTCCACCTCGGAGGATCTCGTGGCCAAGTTGCTGAAGGTCTACGGCGTGCCGCCTCTGCTCCCTTCCGGGGGTGATCAGACCCACGACTTCTTGGTGCAAGTCGCGCGGAAGCGTGGACGTCTCGGCAAGGGTGGTGTGCCCAACCTGGAGGCGGCGGCGATGACCGTCATCACGGACTGGAGAGACGGCCGCATCCAGGGATGGGTCAACCCTCCTGTGCTGCAGGTGGTGACAACGCCCGCCGACGGCTCGGCTGCGGCTGCGGGTGTGGACACGAAGAAGATCGTGACGGAGTGGGCGGCGGAGTTCAAGATCGAGGGACTCTGGGGCAACGGCGAGGGCGAGGACGAGGAGATGGCTGAATAGATGATTTGTTCAGGATACCAGGCGTTTATGGTTCATAAAAGGTAGATAATTGAGCATGATTTCTTCTACTACTACGTTTTCTTTCGTAAAAGCTTTTCTGCCTTGTGATTATCACCTTAGCTCTTAGTGCCGATGATCGATAACCTGGCCAGGATTATGGTTGTGGTCGTGATGACATGTCAGTATATTTGACCGTTCGAAGAAGTCTGAACATATATAGCACTGCACGCACAGAGAGATGCACAAACCATGCTAAACCAACCCAGTCACCCAAAGGACAGAAAGAACCAAGCCGCATTACATCCAGCAAACCCCAAACAAGAGAAATATCATCAACATTCAAGATAGAATCACGATCAGACCTTTGCTATACTGTATACTGCAACCATCCACGCATGCACAGTCCCGTGCATTTCCTTATCGCCACCAATCGATAAGTCTTCCCAACCCCGGCCGCGGGAAGAGTAAAATGGGATTTGCTCCACACGCGCTTTTTCCTTCCGACAATCCCCATTCGCGACGCGTCATTTTCACTTTGACTGAGTCGGGTCACAAATTTTTCTATCCAACATCACCTGTTGCATTGTTCTTTTCGAAAAGAGAAACCTCCAAAACCTGAACCCATCGACCCGCGCACCCTCCGAGACCCCAGAATTTTTGACCGCCGTGCGAAAAGGAAGGGGAATCGGCCACTGGGCATCAAGAAGCCTTCGACGAAAGACTCGATCGCGAACAAACCCTCACTCCCAACCCCAACCCAGTTGCCCCCTCCAAAAAAGAGATATATAAAACAACATGGCTCGCAAATCCACCTCCAACACGACAGCAGCAGCAGCAGCAGCAGCAGCAGAGCCCCCCTCACCCACGACGCAATCCCCTCCCTCCCACCCATCCTCCTCCCCTCAACCCGACACCACAGCGACAGCAGCAGCAACACCCAAACCCAGCGGCAGCGGAGGAACCGTCGAAGCCACCGAACAGCAATTGAAAGCCCGCGCAGAAGCAGGCGTAGGCATTGAGGTATGGCCCTTGCCCTTGCCATTGCCCCCCATCCCAGCCCATCCCCCCACAACATCCCATCCCCCAAAACTACACCCACCATACAAGTAGAATACTTACCCGAAAGAAGGACTACCTCCTCCCACGCACCCTCACAATCCGCCTCGCCAAATCCGTCCTCCCGCCCAACACCTCCCTCCAAAAGGACGCGGTATTAGCCCTCCAGAAGGCGGCGACGGTGTTTGTCTCGTATTTGAGTTCGCAGTACGTTTCTTCCCCCCGTCCCCTGCATTCTTTTCTTGAGGTCACTCTACGGGCAAGTGTCGGGGTGGCCGTGGGTTGGGATAGGCGATGCCGGGCTTTTTGTTGAAGGCTGGGGCTGGGGCTGACGTTAAACGTGTGTAGCGCCAACGAGGCAACCCTCAAACGAACGGTCGCGCCGGCGGACGTGTTCCATGCGCTAACGGAGTTGGAGTTTGATTCGTTCCGCGGGCGGTTGGAGAAGGAGTTGGATGCGTTTACGGAGTTGAAGGCCGGGAAGAGGAGGGGGAAGGGTCAGGGGGGTAGTTCGGGAACAGCGGTGGCGGTGGGAGAGAAGGGTGTTGCTGGTGCTGGTGATGCTGATGCTGCTGCTGAGATGATGGAGGTGGATGAGGAGGACGAGGATCGCGGGGCGAAGAGGGTTAAGAGGGGTGCTGCTGCTGCTGCTGCTGCTGCTGCTGCCGCTGCTAGTGCGAAGGATGATCAGAAAATGTCAGATGGGGATGAGACGCAGGAGGAGCCGGGGCGGGGGGATGGGGATGGGGATGAGACGGAGGAGGTGGAGGAGGTAGAGGAAGAGGATGACGAGGATGAAGACGACGACGAAGACGAGGAGGATGAGGACGAGGAGGAGGGCGAGGAGGAACCCAAGGAGGAGGACGATATCGACCGGGTCGAGGATCTGGATGGAGGCGACGCCAGGCATCGCGCCAGAGTCATGAACCCGGATGTCGACGGGGATGAGACCGACAGTGAGAATGAGTCTGGGCCCGGGAACCAGCTGAGGGGGGAATTGGGTTGACCACTTTTCAGGAAAGATCCGTGTCTAATGCTTGCAATGTACAAATGCGTGTTGATACCCAAATCAACTACAGTTATCCTAATACTTCAAAGTCGTCATATGCCATAGAACTTGCCTCCGACAACGCCAGCGGTTGCCATATTATGCATTGTGATAGTACAGTTGAACCCGTAGGCTCGGGTAGAGGTAGAAACAACTGAGCTAAGCCAGAGCGGACGCAGCCCTCCCTTCCATCAATAAATGCTCTCGTGGACATCCTCCATTTCCTGCCGAACACCTGAAACGCCAGCACCCCGAATAGTCTATCATTGGTATCTCCGTAAACCAGATCCGAACAAATCCCCGACTGAAATCCCGCAAAAACAAAACATCAAGCAGTATTTACGCAGCCGGCTCGTTGAGAAGGCTGCTCATCCCATTGGGAACCGATTTCGGCGAGATGGTCTCCGGCTGTTGCCATCGGCTGGTGCTCCGAGGAGGCGTCGATTCGCCCTTGCCCACCAGCTGAGGAACCATCGGGCCATTGTTGCGCGCAGCGCCCGGAGGCAGGGGAACCATCGGCTTGCTGTCTTCCTTCTCCAACTTGACAGCCTTGTCGCCGTCGGCCGGGACCTTCTGCGCCTTAGTGACTTTTCCGAAGTTGTTGATCTTCGAATTCTTGGCCGGCTCTGTCTTCCTCGTCCGCTTCTTCGGCACAGTTTTCTTGGGCGCAGCCTTCCTCGTGCCGTTGGTCTTGGAGGCTTGGAGGACGTCCTGAAGACTGCGTCCGCGGCTAGCGGGATTGGGACACGCGGATATGGATAGTGCCTCGGACAAGTCCTTCGAAATCTCCTCGTCATGGCTGGAAGACGGAGTAAGAAACCCAGTCGGTGTGCGCTGCTTCTTCCGGGGCGTCTGGATGACAATCTCGACTTCTCCTTGCTCATTTTTCACCCGCTCGGCCTCGGACAGATTGCATTCATCAAATACCTCCTCTGGAGCATCCCAGCGCTTGAGCCCTGCGAGCCGAGCGACTTCTTCGCAGTCCCCCTTGACCATCAGATCCCAGCAGTCCTCGAATTCTTTCCCACTGGGGGGTTCGTTATTGATCCACATGGTCACACCGTTGCGACGACTTCGAATCACCGAGCACAGGCTCTTTACTAGGCGACGGACACCGGGGATTTTCAAACTCGTGCCCACCACAATCAAAGCATCCGGGCGAGAGCGAATGTCTGCATTCATGACGGAGGTGATGGCTTCTTCATCCGGGTTGTGTTCGTTGTAGAGGACGAGGCGCGGTCGCATCTTGCCGATCCCGTGACTTCGCTGGCCCGTGTCCATGCGGAATTGGTTGTTGATGACGCACTCGGGACACTCAGGGGCATCCGGCCGATCGAACAAACTCCCATCAAAGTTGCTCAAATGGCGGCACTTCTGACACACCATTTTCTCGAGACTGCCGTGCAATTGGATGGTGCGCGGCCATGGCGCTTTGACATTAAGAGGAATCTGGGTGGCCAGCGGGGGCATTGATGTCTCAATCCCATCAATGTTCTGAGTGTAGAGGCGCGTCAGGCGGTTTTCCTGGCCCAAACGAGCCAGCATGTGGTGGAACGCGGTCGGGGAGGTGTTGGCAGCCTCCTCCGACAGCGACCGGACCATGTCCTGGAAAGAAGCGGTCAAGGTTTCATCCTGATACACCGCAGCATCGAAGAGGAGCTTTCCCGACGCTTTGAGGTTGTGTTTCTTTTGAAGAGTTTTGAAGAGACCATCGCTGGAGCGAAAATCGGGAACTAGCAGGAACAATCAAATTAGAATTAAATGCCATCATTGTGGTGTGGGGGGTGGGGGGGCTAACGAAGGGGGGGAGGAAGTATAGGAAGGGTTTCTTTTGAGGCAGAGTGATGATCAGGGCAAGGGAGGTTGCATACTTCCTGCAGACGTGGAAATGCCAGCACCGGCAATGACGACAATTTTGCGATGACGGCGGAGAGTCTTGACGAGATAATCGATCTGCGACTGCTGCTGATCATAGGAGAGGGAGGCGCCAGACGATAGGTCAAGATGCTGAGTGCAGCGTTCCTTAGGGGCGGCCACCCGACGCTTCTTCCGAGCGGGCGGCAAGTCGTCTTGGCTGCGGGCGGCAGCACTACCACTACCACTACTAGCTTCCTCCGTTTCTTGCTGCGATGGGGGCGGCGACGGATAGAACTCCGGTGGTGTCATCGGTGAGGGGGGAGCTGAGCTCAGGCTCGAACAATCCGAATCATCATCCATGCCTAGAGAGGCTAGCTGATTGTGTGGTGTTGAACACGAAGAGTTGAAGGAGGAGGTGGTGGTGGTGTTGGAGGAGGTGTTGGTCTGGGTTCGAGATCGTGAAGTAGGCGCCATTTGGTCAGACCGGGAGGAGGTTGAGGAGCAAAGAGAAACACAAAAAGTTTGAATCACACGAAAAAAGGTGGCCGGTCGACAGCAACGGCTTTTGGGACGGAAGTTGTCGGGTACTCGTACTAGAGATCCGTGGAGAGTAGCATCGAGCACGGATGAGAGAATTGGAACATCAATTGCAGACGAGGAAGGACCGGTAAGGGGCGCGGGTTCCGAGCAGAGAATTTAATTCCCTCCAGTCTTCCTTTGTTCGGAGGGGAGAGGGAGGGGGGGGGCTGGAAAGAAATTGGCAAACGACCTGGAACCAGACACGGAGAAGTAAAGATATTTAACAATCAGAAGGGGGGAAAAAAAGAAAAGAATAGCGACTCAAACAGAGAGGAAGAGGGAGAAAGGGAAGAAGAAAGAGGACGAGGACGAGACACCAGAAACAGAACAGAACACTCGAGCCCCGTGACTATTGGGGGTCAAGGGAGAATGATGAGGTCAAGTGGGATGATGGTGGCTGAATAGGTGAACAGATGAATGGAACAACAAGGGAGAAAGAAATCTAGCCAGGAAGAGGAGAGGAGGAAAGGAACTAGAAAACTGGAAACGCTGAAGGAATTGGAACTGGAACACCCGTCCGGCTGCCGGTCAGATCCTCTCTTTTTTCGCTTGCAGCGTGTTTATTTTGACCCACGGGCAAAGAGAGGAGAGAGGAGCCAAGTTGTCGAAGAGAGAGAGAGAGAGAGATAGGGCACAATGCCAATGCTGGCTGCTGCTGTTGCTGTCGGGAGTCTAGTGGGTAAAAGGCGGGGGTGGAAGTCCAGAGAAGAGAAAACTAAGAGAAGACAGCAACGGTCGGTATGTTTCGAAGAATGTATGAATTAATTGGGTTGACGGTTATAGTTGGTTGGTATCTCTATAGATGCTATCTGGCTCGTTGTTGCATGGCGAGGCTGTGATAACTACGGTAGTTATATATTATTATATCATCGGACAGGGCAGGGCAGAGATGGGAAAAAGGAAGAGGGTAACGAAAATTCTGGTAAAGCCATACGCAGTGGGGGAGTGTGTTTCCACAGTGTTGGCTGATCTCGTTACCGGACTCTTACGCTGCGAAGAGAATCGCGGTTCGACACTCCCGTGTCTACTTCCTCCTCCACTTCGTCTGATTGGCGGAACCAGCATAGTTTTTATAGTCCAGGTTAGTTAACTGGCGCAGTGAGTGAGTGAGTGCTGCTGTTCCCCCTCCCAAAGTCGCCCGGTCGCATTGTGTCTGGCAGTCCATTGACAAGTCATCGATCTTCAAGTAACATGTTCCTGGGACTGACGGTGGTCATCAACCCATATTTTTGATTTTCGTGATGTCTATTGAAGTTGCTCAGGGCTCCAGCTGGCTAGTAAAACTTCCAATTTCAGCTAGCCCCCGTCCGCTCAACACTTCCAGCTCGATAGCATGGATCCCATGCTAGCACACAGGATGATATCCCAACATGATTCCTTTTCTGGGACCCTAACAACAACACACCGAGACGCGTCTTGAGGTGCAGATCTCACTACCTGAGTATCAGCCACATCCAAAGAGCTGTCCACTTAATAAAGACCAATCTCTAGTAGATTCCGTACATCTGTCGTAAAGCACATGTAGAATGGTTACTGCCGAGCAGCGATCTCTAATCTAGTAGTTCGTAGTTACATTCTGTCCACAGCTGCATCCATCCATCCATCCATGGAGACGTTTTGACTTGGATCAGGGTTGATGATGTCGCGTGAATCGGAAGTGGGGGAGGGTTTTGATTGGCTCGCCCGTTGGCCCGGCTACGGCAGGCAGCACATGATCTCACATGACGCTGACTAAGGGGCTCCGGGGAGGGGATCCACCCACGCCCACCAACTAGTTAGTCAGTTAGTGACTTACAAATGAAACTAACATCATGAGCATCGTCTGGATTCATGCTTTTTGTTCGCCCTGTGTGTGAGTAAGGGTGGATTACGAGCTTCGCAGAGTGGGAGGTTATGAGGTACTTACTTCTCTGATCTCTGAAACAATTCCCAATTTTGCCCTGCCTGGCGTCTGCTAGTCGTGTTCTTCAACACCCCACCCCCCGTTGTGACTGTTTCCGGGGTCTATCGCTTTAAACTATGCTGCCGGGCCAGTGCGATATCGCTCTCCCTTTTAGGCATTTTGATAACTGTTAATCAAACCTTTCCCCGACCCCATCATGCCCCTGATGATGGAGGACGGTATCAATGTTGACGATCTCTTCGGGGAGCCTGCCTCCTTGGAGCTGGGCCTGCCATCTACCACTTCCACTAAAGGCCTGGCCGAGCGCTTGGATGAAATGCGCTTGCTCGGTTGCTGCCAGTGAGTCGCAACCCCCCCCCCCCCACAGCAGATCATCTTCAGACTTTGCCAGCTAACATCCGAACCAGGAAAATTGCATGGTCCAAATTAGGCTGCATTGCCTACGTCGCCCAGGATCCGTCCAAAGTGCATGTCCGTTATCTTCAGTGCCAGCCGACTGATGGCAAATGGACGCTCAGTGATGAGACACCCTTGCTGCCTGTCACGGAAGCCCATGGTGGCACCGCCTTGGTGCATCTTAGTTGGAACGAGTCTGGCTCTGAGTTGGCTGTAGTTGATCTGTCGGGCCGACTCTCCATTTATTCAATTCCGATAGCGCTCAACAGTGTCAACGGGCTTCGACCACCGTCCTTGGAACCCGACGATAGTGCGCAGATAGTCGGGATGCTGTGGTTGAACACCCAACGCTCCGTGAGTACCCTAGGAAGCTTTGCTGGAGTATGCTCTTAACCTTCTTCAGGTGCACGCTTTTTATCAAGCCGCCAAAGTGCAAGGTCGCTGGGCTTATTCGCCATATCGTCGTCGGCCAATTGGTCCCTTCCACCCAGCCAACAAGGCTGCGCTGGTCTACATCACCAGGTCTGGAATGATCAAGCTCTTGTATCAAAACCCGGATGGGAAATGGGCCGAGATATCTGCCGAGCTGAAGAACACCAGTTACTCGGACCGGATGTTAACCCACGCGGCATTGGTAGCGACCCAAACTGGGATTCTCGTTGCCACATACTCAGCTTGCCAGAAGATCTGTGTCTACCGAGTGCACATCAACTGGAATCCTCCTCAGTATGATCCTGCGCAGCAGCCTAAACAAACGCCTCCCCAATTTCCGGTTCCCAGCTTTCGTTTCGCACATTGTAAGGTCGAGACCTCCTGCAATGTTCCTGGTCCCGCGCGAAACAATGGGGATCCCTCCGATAATCTTCACCAACCTTTTCCTAACTCTCTTTACTGTCTCACCCGCTTGGACGTCATCCTTCCAACGTCTGATAATGCGGCAGGGTCCTCTGCAACCCCGTGGATCGTTGCAACATTTTCCATCCTCCCTCAGATCGCCCCTGACCATCCACACCAGCAGGGACCGTCGAGTATTATTGTACGATGGCAACTTGAATCTGCGCCCCTCACTCTCCACCCCAAATTCGATGAAGTCACGACAAAGAGAAATAGCATGCAGATCAAGGCAAGTCTCTCGCAAAAAGCGAAAATATGGGAATGAGAAGTGCTAACATACGTCCAGGCCAAGGCTGTCCTCAATCGATTAGACGATATCTTTTGTGATAGATACGTCGTGTCAATAGATCACATTGAATATGCCAATGTGCTAGCCGTGATCTACGATGACAGCTCTATCTCTTTTTACGATCCAAAAACCATGGCTGCATTCAACGGAGTTGATGATGCGAACACGGTGACTAGCCTGGCCCAAGCAGGTTTCCATTATTCTCCCAACACTCCAGGTCAGTATTCATTCTTTCCCTCGATACTGAGTATCACTAAGCACTAGATTTAGGCCTTCATTTCAGCTTTTCACCCAGCGCCTGTGCTGCTGTTATGTTGGACAGCAGCGGGCACGTCCAGCTTCGGGTGATGGAGCACTCATATGGAGCAGACAATGGCCTCTACGACGAGAGTACGTCCTTCCACCCAAGTCAGACCGGCTCATGCTCTAATATCATGATTCAGATAAATTCTCAGCAGCTATCGCTTCATTGACATTGGCATTCTGTCGTGGATGTGGAAGTGAAGTTAACACGGACGATATCTTATTAATATTAATACGTCAACTCTCCTCTGGTCAGTTACCTTCTTGTACTTTTCATGGCCATGTTTTGAGACTAACGACAATTACAGACGCTCAAACCTCCTTCATCAACGAAGTCTACCGCGCGCTGCCCATCAATTGCAACTTCACCGTGGAACAGGACAAGCTCATGAACCACCCGTATATCCCACGTTGTCTCAGCATTCAGGCTGCACTGGGCAACAAGGGTAAAAATCACCAGCGAGGCTTCGCATCTTCTGTCTCGTGGTTTATCCTCCAACTGCGCCACGCCTCAATTCTCTACCCGTTCTTCTTTCAGTATAATAAGGGGATTCAAGCAGAGCCCCATGACCCTGGTATGATCACTCCGTGCGCCCAATTGAGATCCTCACTAACCATATACTACTCATAGATGTTCTTCGTATGGTCCTCGGTAACACCAAATGGGCCCTTGACTTTTCACTTTATATCCTCCACGAACTTTTCAACCTTGCAGACGAATTCGAAGATGTATCTTCCGACCAAGAGGCTTTCAACCAGAAACGTAAGTTGGCGACTCTTGTCTTAGGAATGAAAGTTAACCTCAATGTCTTATGACAGTCAAAACCACCAACTCTCTCTCTCTCATAATCCTCCTCTCTAGCATGTCTCGGGCCTTTCTTCGCTTCATTTGCCGTGGCCTGCGCGGCATTCACGCCGGCTACGCCAATGCCCCGCTCACGGGCG